TATACGTATGAGATATATTATGAAAATACAGTGGTGTTATATTTCTTATAAAAATCTTGCTACTTCACATTCTATAATGACTTCATTATTTACTCATCCTTAACTCATCAATTATCCCCAACCATGCTAAAAGAAATGACATAAGGAAATTAATTTATGATGATATCATCTAGAGTGGTGGTATCCAACATAGTAGCAATTGGGCATATGTGGTCATTTAAATTTAAATGTAAATCAATTAAAATTAAGTAAAATTAAAGGCACAATTTCTTAGTCCCATGATCCACACTTCAGTTGCTGAGTAGACATATATATCTAGCATTTGGCTACTATTTTAAGACCAATATACAACAGTTCCATCTTCACAGAAAGTTCTATTAGACAGTCCTGGTGGGGAAGGATTATGCAAATGTGATAAATGAATTATATATAAAATGTACTTTACAATACACACACACACACACACACACACACACACACACACACACACCAAAATGGCCTTAAAAATGTGGTTCCTATGTATGCATATTGGCAGTTCAATGCCATGGTATTAAATGTATTCTCAGAGCACTCATTATAAAACAATGTTCTAATCTGTCTCTTATGCTGGTCATTTTCAATATCAGCTGATTTTTAAAGTAATTTTGTCAATGTCACATAAAGAAAATAAATGTTGATCTATTGTCTTATTTTCTGTTTTCTGTTCTTTCTGTTAGTTCAGATACATCATTCTTACTAAGAATAAATTAACATCTGACTCATACAACTCTTCTACAAATTAAATCAGAAAATAGTTATTGTTCCAATGAGATCTGCATAAAAACAGAAAGATAAATGAGAATTTCAATTTATAAAAATCATGTAGGTCATGTGTAAACTATATTGTAACCTCTTATGTGAAATGTGCAGGCGTTTGTGGTTCACAATGAAAAGTCGACACTTTCTTTAATTTCAAGTTTAAAGAAACTCTCTTCCATCATAGTGGCAGTAAAATTTATGATTACTAGTAATATTATATAAAGACATAAAAGTTGCTTTGATATATTTTATAGGCTGAATCCTTTTAAATTGTATATTGCAAGATTACAAAGTTAAAACATTTAGCCCTAAAAATAGAATTTCTCCTAGTATTTTTTTTTCCATCATGTTCCTTGACACTATGTGTTTCTTATTTCTCATAAAACTTTCCTTTCCACAATAACACAGAATTTTTATTGAAGGTGAAATCATAACTTTCCATTATTTTAGAGATGTATATTGTTTTCTGTCACTCACCACAGAAAACAATAGCATCTTTTCTGCTTTGTAGATCAAAAGACTAAATTTTTTTATTTGGGCCAATCTTTGCAATTATTCATAGGAACTTTGTGAAACAAAGTGTAAATCCTAAATCAATGTTCAATACATTTTAAACTAACCACCTTCTGTTTTGTTTTTGTTTTTGTTTTTTTAAACTCTTTTCATTTGCCTCCACTTGCACCCATGGGAATTTTCATATTATATATATATTGCCTGTATGCACCTAAGTCAATCCATAATCTATTGTCTCTGAAAACAACCACTGAAATATTAGATGTTTATAAAGATTATACCTGATTTCCTCTAACTTTGATGCAGACCTTTGCTAAATGTCCCCTCTCTCCTCTCCTCCCCTCATTTCACCTAAAGGGGATGTTCTGTACCACTAAATGAATATATAGCATTATTATAAGTTAGTTGCAATTAACTTTACATATTGAATGCTGGTATGCTAGATGCTAAGGAATTTTTTTTTAAATAAATCTGGTCTCTGCCTTCTAGCATTTACATATTAAATGATAGAATGAGTTGTTATTTTTAATTGGCCAGCAAGTATAACATTTTTCACATAAAGTGTTCTAAAAATTAAGCAATTCAATTGGTTTCCTCTGTAAAGTTTGATTAATAATGCATACTAAAATATAGTGAACAGCTAAAAATGCTTAGGAAGTGTATAATATCGATAGCTCCATTTTTTACTCCCATGAAAGTGAAAATGACTGGCAGATGACAATTGGCATCTGTAGCTAAGTTTAAATATTTTTGACAGATATAAATAATTCTTGAGAATCTAAACAATAATGGGTTGAAGCCATTCTGTGACTATGGAGTGAAATAAGTCAAAGTCAAGTCTATTCCATGATAAGGTCTGAAACAAGATAGAGACCAGGGCATTCAGCAACTATAAAAAATACCATATTAACCACTGCCTCTTTATAATAGCAAATCTAATTCTGCTTTAATATATTTGCTTTCTAGGTAAAAGTTACGAACATATTCATTACTAGATTTCTCCCAATCCTAACAGCATCCAACTCCACAACCCTTTTTAAAATATTCAGGACAAGCCTCTGCTAATTCTAGTTACAAAGCCTCTCCTACTCTTACTTGCACTCAGAGATGTTGGGTAGGCCTTCTGCCTTGCCACAACCACTTAATAAGCCTGAAGTGGTAGATGTCTGATGATCTTTGTCTGGCAATTGCCAACATGCCTTATGACCCAATTTTTATAATTTTATTTTATATGTTGAAACTTATAGCTAAATGAGTAAATATTATTCTAAACAATATTATATGGCTTTATGTAAGTGAAAAATGTGTGTTTTTTTTTTAAGATGCAGATGATCTGTATCCTCTCAGTATATCAAATTATATAACTTTTCATATTTTAAGACATGTGATAAATAAGAAAAAAATGAGAAAAGGAAAGAGCCTATGGACTGAACATTACTGTGAGCCCTCCAACCCCCTCATTTATATCTTGCAACTTAATTCCCAAATTAGGAAATGAGGCCTATTGAAGTCCTCGACCTGGGGACTAAAGGGTCACTAATTTGATTAAGGGCACATGCATGGGTTGCGGGTTTGATCCCCAGTAGAGGGTGTGCAGGAGGCAGCTGATCAATGACTTTTTTTCATCATTGGTGTTTCTATCTCTCTCTTCTTCTCTGAAATCACTATATATATATATATATATATATATATATATATATATATATATATATATTTTTTTTTTTTTTAAGAAATACATTTCTGTTGTTTAGAAGCCACCCAGTCTATGTTATTTTGTTAAAGGAGCTTAAATGTACATATATTGAATTTTTATGTAATGCCATAAACTTGACTTAAGTTGTCCAGTTTGTTCCTCATGGAAATTATTTTCTAGCTTATATTCAAACCTTAAACATTTCCAATAATTGTTCCAAGGTCTCACTGAAAATAAAATTTGAAATTTGGAGATAATCTCAGGTTGAACTATGAAATGTGCTTGCTTCTGAATCTGTTTCAATGAGGACAGGAAGAAAAGAAATACAACTAATGTAATATAATTGAAAGTATTTAAAATTTTAATAATTTCAACAGCAAGTAAACTAAAAATACTTAAACTATGATGGGCAATAATTAAAAACCATAATCAGATGACATTTTCTCTATCAAGAATGATTTTTAAAAGTATGATTCCTTGGTACTGTGATCTTTTCTCATAATATTCTCTACCCCCTGTCCCCCAATATTTCACTCTACCCCAGTTTCACTGATAATTTTGCTGTTCATAGAAACATAAAAAAATAAAGGGATGCTCCTATCTCATGGTCTTTATACTTGCTTTTTCCTCTCTCTGTATGTGTATATATAATATTACACATATGTATTGTATATAAACAGCACACACACACACACACACTTTCCTTAACTCCCATTTCCACCCTTCCAATTGCTCTCCTCATTACCACCACTGATGTTTATTTCCCCCATAAACATTACTAAATAACATACTATATGTTGTATTAATTTATTTTGTTTTTCTTTCATTCCTACCTAGAACAGATGCTGTAAAAGAATTGAAATTTGTTGCTGTTAGTGGTGATGGTGTTTTTGACCCTTGGAGACAATCTTGATTTGTTTTGTTTTATTTTTGGCCACTTATGCAACACCGGTGTCCAAACAATGGCTGTTACATAGTAGGCACTCAAAAACTTCTTGTTGAATAAATAAATGAAAAAAAAATTGAGGTATAATACAAGATCAGTACTTATATTTAAAATGTTAGTATTTAATGTGATTTTGCATCTCACTTCTACATTTTATCTATAATTTTAGTATATAAAAGCAAACAAAAATATCTAATATTTAAAAAACAAGCAGTCCAATTCAGAAATACAATGTCTTATGTTCTCTTTATCTTTTCTACTTTATCTTATTTCAACTTATTTAATTTCATATTGATAAATGCTTAAAGATCACCTCTCCCCAAGGACCTTACCAACTACTAAAATGTTATGATTAAAAATGCACTATTTGCTAGTTGTGTGACTTGGCCAAGTGACTCAACCCATATAATCTTTGGTGTCTTCATCTGTCAATTGTCATTAAAGTTAAACAATTGATACTCTTACAGATAACATGAGATGAGATGATGCTGGGAAAGCATTTAGTTCTGCCTCTGACATATTGGTGTCATCAAACTAATTTGGTTCTTATCACTTGTAAATAATGATGCTGTTTATGAAGTAAACATACTATATATAAACATATAATATATATCTTGCAGTTATATAGACAATATATTTCATAGAGAAAGTAAAATAGAAAAGAGTCTGGTTTTAAAAGTACAGATAGAAATCCACATTTGTATGCAACAAAATTACTTAAATAAAATAAAGCTTATCAATGCCCTTTTCAGATTCCCAGCTCTCTGATTCTGCCAGAATTACCACTTTCCTCCTCAACTCAGATGCACACCTAGACATCAAGCCACTATTTGGAAGGTGATGAGGAGTTTTAGCCTTCTGATGCCACCTTTATTTTTATTCCTTGACTGCACTAATACTCAGCCTTTGAACATGATTAATGCTAGTGAGGGTACTTTTACTGCATTTTGCTGTAGATTTTCTATAACTTTACCTAATTTTGAAATGATTTTAAATGCAGATGAGCAGATTTGCTGCCGATATAAAGGGGGAGAAAAGAGCGTTACTTACAGTGTATTTCTAGCACCTGCATTGCTACCTGAGGAGTGGCATTGAGGGATTCATGGTCGACTCTGCAGATGACCGCCACGCCGTCGTCACTCCTGTCCACTCGGAAATCCAGTGTGCTGCTGACAGTGAAAGTCTTGCGATTTGCATCCTCTTCTTTTAAATATTTTACATCTGAAAAGAAAATATAAATTAAAAATCTCTGTGACATTCTCCTTCAACATGTAACATTCCATTTACTCAAAATGCCTTTAATGAAAGCACATTCTTCTTATATTTATCATTTTTTAAAAGCAAAGATTTATTAGTTTAACATTTAATCCATTTGAATTGGAGAAAATAAAAATACACTAGTTGAAAAAAATAAAAGTTAAAAGTTAAGTGCAGAAAGAATAGGGCAAGACATAACATTTTTATTCCTTTGTGAGAGATAATTTTTTATGCTTCCCTTGAAAAATCAGGCCATTTTACAATATTAATCTCCCATCTTTACATTTCAATTTTATTTTATATTTTAGGTAAATATACTTTTATTGATTTCAGAGAGGAAGGGAGGAGAGGGGGATAGAAAGATCAATGATGAGCGAGAATTATTGATCTGCTGCCTCCTGCACGCCCCATCCTGCAGATCGAGTCTACAACCCCAGGCATGTGCACTGACAGGGAATCAAACCGAGACCTCCAGGTTTATGCTCAACCACTGAGCATACCGGATGGGGATATTTCAATTTGATGAAAGGATAATCTTAATTTTCTGAGCCGCAAGCATATTTGGGAAGAGCATTTTCACAACTACCTGGCTATGCCTAAAAGAAAGTACACTTTAGTATTTGAACTAAGATTTTAAAATGAGCAATGTGAGCTGGGCATAATTGCTAAAGAGTATCTACGGTGAGAAAGTTTACATCTTTGGTAAATAAACTAAGGTAGTCACTTAAGTATTTGGAATATTTAAATACATATATTTATTTAAATACATATATGTATTTTACTGAGAAATATATATATATATATATATATATATATATATATATATATATACATACATATATAAATACATATATACATTGAGAAAAATGGTCTTCACACTGAAAAATTCATTCCTACAGGCAAAAGAAATTTTCCCTTACAATGTGAAGTCAACTATCAGTATTTAAATTCACTGTGAACAATTTAGATTCATCATTAAATGGTGCACTTAGGGATTATTTCTTTTCTGTGGAAAAAGGTTTAATAGCATTTTCATTGAACTGGAAATTACTCACGTCTAAGTGGCTGATAAAAAGAGAGCAATTTTAATGAATTAGAAATCAAAATCATAGACTAAGGTTAAGATACCATTCTGATAAAATCTTAAATATAGTTGAGGAAAAATGTTGTCCCATTTTCTTGTGTTGACATTTCAAGTGAGCAATGATATTTTCAGGAAAAAAAAGTTATTTCACATGAAGTGCATAAAACATTTCAGTTTTCCATGTATTAAATAATTATCTTAAACATTTATATTGGCAAAAAAAGTAATATAATTATAGCTTCTCCATTTTTGTGCTCTATATAAAACTTTCATTTTGAAAAAAATACTGAATTTAGCTCAATAGTTGGCCATAGACCCATGAATCAGGAGGTCACTAGTTTGGGGTACATGCCCAGGTTGTGGGTTCGATTCTCAGTAGTGTGGTGTGTCTACCTTTCTCCTATTCCTCTCTAAAATACATTAAAAAATATTTTTAAAAATCAATAAAACATTTTTAAAAATACTGAATTTCATGTATCTGATGTGCAGATATTTGCACGATCCATTGAGTTTTGCTTATTTGCAAAAGAGATATGACTTCCTCTTATTTATTTAAAAATAAAATAAATGTTATTAAAGAATAAAACTAGATAAATGTTTTGTCATCTTAATGAAAATACATTTATTAGTATATTTAAAATTTAGAAAAAATAACTAAGATTTTAGCACACAGATAAAAAAAAAAAACAAAACAAAAACACACGTTTTATATATTTTTAGTAGTTTTTCAGAGAAAAAACAATCCCTAACATTTGAAAAGGTAAGAACAATATAAAATTTTAATTCTGACTTTCAACTATAAACCAGTCATACAGGACATAGGGTTTTTCATATATATATTGTATATATATATATATATATATATATATATATATATTATCAATTTTTTTACAGAGAGGAAGGGAGAGAGATATATTGGTAGTTAAAACATCAATGAGAAAGAAACATCAATGAGCTGCCTTCTGCACACTCCCTACTTGGTATATGCCCTTGACCAGAATCAAACCTGGGACCCTTGAGTCTGCAAGCTGATGCTCTGTCCACTGAGCCAAACCAGTTAGGACTATAAATACATATATTTTAAAATATTCAATTTTTGATAACTAAAGTTATTTCTAAGAGTTTTGCAATTGAAAATTAGTTTCAACATCAGTTAAAAATATTAAAATAAAAAGATAAAATGACCTGTATCAGTTAAAACATGCCAGTATATTATAGATATATTTAAAGTTCTTTGCTACATAAAAAAAAGAAAGTTGAAGTTTTTAATTTTTCAGTGCCTCATAGATTTATAGAAAATGTTCCTTTGTTTTTACATTTTAAACTACTTCCTGTAAATGTATATCCAGTGTTTTCTTGGTCATAGCTCTAAGTGGGCAGTGTAGGAAAATTTAGATCTTTAGAGAAACCACCTCTTTAAAAATATTGATTAGACAGAAAGAGAGAGAGAGAGAGAGAGAGAGAGAGAGAGAGAGAGAGAGAGAGAGAGAGGGAGGAAGAGAGAGAAAGAGAGAGAAGAGGGGAGGGGAGGAGAGTGAATGTGAGAGATAAGCACTAATTGGCAGATACCCCTTCTTTCCCTCCCTGGCATGAGGCCCAATCCAGGATCTAGCCTACCACCTTTTGGTATACAAGACAATGCTTCAACCAATCAGGCCACACCAAGTAGAGTGGAAACCAATTTTATAACATCTAACATTATTTCAAAATATTGGTGCTAATTGTTTAATATAATAATAGTCGCATTTTTAAGAACAACACATCTGCTTCCTTTAGCTATTTCAGTTTCCTGTACAAAAACATCATTTAATGTAACATTAATTAGACACATAAAATCTATAGCAATTGTATGTAACATAAAATTGTAATGAGTATCATTGAATAGAATAAACAAAATTATAATTTGTTGCTTTTAATATTAGCTTATGTGACATCTTATTGGGTTACTAGTAGGTTTAAAATGAACAGGGAAACTGCATTTCAAAGAGCGAATCATACTATCTTTCCCATATTTTATGCTGACCACTTCCTTCTAAAGCAAACACACACGCAAAATAGTACTTAAAATTCATTTATATTTTCACTTTCTAGCTTTATAAGATAACTAATATATTATACAGTTATAGATAAACAGAAATTTTCTTTGTCTCATAGTTAATTTGTTGATTCCCTGTGTACTTTCTGCTTCATGTTCTGTCTGTTTTAGAGTTCTATATTTTTCTCCTGTGTCTTGCCACTGCTGGACATTGTGATCCAGAGCGGTATTTCTGAAGTTGCAATGTGCTCATTAAGCACTGTGTATCTTTTGGAAATGCAGATTCAGACCAAATATGTTGTGATGCAGAGCCTGACACTCTGCTCTGGCCCATAGACCATAATTTTAGGAGCAAAGGTAGAACAGACACCAGATACGTAGACACCAGAGATATAACCAAAGTTAAGGATCGAATATTGGAATATTAGAGACTTACTCTGCACATGTACCTTTCTTCTTTCATTTCTTCTTTCTTTCTTTTCCTTTTTGTTGTCTTTTTTTACTTCCTCTCTCTCCCTTAATCGTTCCCCTTATATCTGTTGCTTTTTTCTTTCTACCTTTCTTTCCTCTCTCACACTCCATTTTCTTAAGCTTAGATTTTACTTTTGCTATTTTAAAATATACATTTCTTATTTTTTATTTTTCAAAATAAGCATGTTATATATCATGCATTGGTACAATGTCTAGTAAAAGTTGAGGGCAGATAATAGAGGAATTTACAGGATCACTTTCCTTCAAAATCTTTGCAGCTACATCTCTTTCTCCAAAGCAGATTCTGGACATTTAAGAACTTGTCCCTAAGTAAGCAGGAGACTGGTTGGTTTGGTGGGTGGCAGTTGGAACTTATCTGTTTTTGTACATACATTACAGATATTGTACATTTTTTTAATTTTTAAAATGTATCTTATTGATATTTTACAGACAGGAAGGGAGAAGGATAGAGAGTTAGAAATGTTGATGAGAGACAAACATCCTTTTCCTACAGAGTGACAGTCGTAACCTTGGCTTTCAAGCTATGGCTCCACCATTAACCAGCAACATGGAATAACTATTTCACCTGCCAAAGAATTTAACTGAAAATCAGTTCCTTGTTAATAGATTTCAAAAGCTCAGATGAGCAAAATAGTATGTATAAAGAACTGGTGAATGGGATATACTTCATTTATTTAAATATTCTAAACCACCTCTCAATTTACTTAGATAAGCAGAATGTTATACTTCTTATCAAGCTTCTCTTAAGTGCTATCCCACAGGTCTGCATTCAAAAGTATTATTATTATAATGCACTGTGTGACTCTTGCTCTATATTATCTGGGACCAACGCAATTCAGCACATATGCATTTACCTAAAACCCAGGGACTCCCAGAGGAACTTCCTCTCCTGACTGTCAGCACCAGGAAGCATTAGACCTCTTTTGTACAACTGACTTGTGAATATGATAATTAACTGATTTTTGAGTTCTCTCTTTGAAATAGGTAAAAAGCCCATTAAAAGTTTGTGTTCCAGTCTTTCCCATCTTGCAAGATGGCGGGTGAAAAGAAAACCGAGAAGCCGGATACTAAGGAGAAGAAGCCTGATACTAAGGAGAAGAAGCCAGACACTAAGGAGAAGAAACCTGAAGCCAAGAAGAAGGCTGATGCCGGCGGCAAGGTTAAGGCCCCTAAGAAGGGGAAGCCACACTGCAGCCGAAACCCCGTCCTCGTCAGAGGGATCGGCAGATACTCCCGGTCGGCTATGTATTCTCGAAAGGGCATGTACAAGAGGAAGTATTCCGCCCCTAAATCCAGGATTGAAAAGAAAAAGAAGGAGAAAGTCCTTGCTACTGTCACAAAACCAGTTGGTGGCGACAAGAATGGTGGTACCCGAGTGGTTAAACTCCGCAAAATGCCTAGATATTATCCTACTGAAGATGTGCCTCGAAAGCTGTTGAGCCATGGCAAGAAGCCCTTCAGCCAGCATGTGAGGAGATTGCGGGAAAGCATCACTCCTGGGACCGTCCTGATCATCCTCACTGGGCGCCACAGAGGCAAGAGGGTGGTTTTCCTGAAGCAGCTGAGCAGTGGCTTGCTACTTGTGACTGGACCTCTGGCCCTCAATCGAGTTCCTCTTCGTAGAACACACCAGAAATTTGTCATCGCCACCTCCACCAAAGTTGATATCAGTGGTGTGAAAATCCCCAAACATCTCACCGATGCTTACTTCAAGAAGAAGAAGCTGCGCAAGCCCAAACACCAGGAGGGTGAGATCTTCGACACAGAGAAGGAGAAATATGAAATTACAGAACAGCGCAAGGTTGTCCAGAAAGCTGTGGACTCTCAAATTCTGCCAAAAATCAAAGCTGTCCCTCAGCTCCAGGGTTACCTCCGCTCTACGTTCGCTCTCACCAATGGGCTTTATCCTCACAAACTGGTGTTCTGAATTTCTCATAAGAACCCGATTAAATAACTGATACGTTAAAAAAAAAAAAAAAAAGTTTGTGTTCCATCATTGGCAAATATGAAAGACTTTATAAAAAGAATGTAGTTACTAATTTTACTTTAAATTCCATCTATTTTCTATATTATTCTGGCTGCTGCTCCATATTCAATAACATTGCCTTTATATTAATCAGTTATTTTTGGATTTACACAAATCATTCTAGAACAAAGTGAATGATAAGAGTCACTTTCAAAAGCACTGGACCAGTTCAATTTCTGCTTGATGGCTCAGAAACAATATTTAAATGTCTATTAAGGTTTAATATTTTGGAGCACTAAGAACAATATCAATCCAAGAGAACAGTCAGTAAGAAATAGTAATTTTCGTTGAAAATTATTGGGGTAAAAATCTTAGATCACTATCATGTAAGTGGTTAAGTCTGTATTTAGTTCTTTATTTAGTTTTTCTGTGATAGAAGATAAGAACTGGTTTGTCCAGTCCAGGAGAATATCCAGCAAAATAAGTCACTGTCTTTAAAAATTAGTAATTAAAGTTTGAGACCATTCTAAATGCGAACATAAGTTTATAACTGAAGTAATTCATTCATTCTGTATTTAAAATCCTTGATCTCTTCCAATGTATTAGACACTGTGCCCAATTCTGTACAAAAAGTTAAATGAGGAAAATGATCACATTGTTCTAGTAAGGGGCATATATATATCCTATATAATAAAGAGGGAATATGCAAATTGACCATCGCTCCACCACAAATATGGTGGTGCCCACAGAGTAGGCAGGAGTTTCTGTAACATAAGATGACTACACCCACAGTGGAAGCTGAGTTCACATAATGATCCTTAATGAGCATTCAGCAGGGGCCTGAGGCTGCATTCCCCCCGCCCCCGCCCCTCCCCTGCATGGGGCTTGACAAGGGAACTCAGGCTTTGAATCCACTCTGGCATCAGGCTGCACCCCCAACCCTGCATGGCTTGGCAGAGGGCCTCAGGCCATGCCTCCTACCTGGTGGGGCTTGACAGGGGACCTCAAGGTGTGCCCTCTGCCCTGGTTCTGGGGGACCTCAGGCTGCTTTTCCTGCCCTGGCGCCAGGCTGGGGGACCTCAGGCTGTACCCGTTTGCCCATCAGGGCTTGACTATGGAACTCAGGCTGCCCTTATTCCCCCTCCCCCCACCAGCACCTAGACAGGGGACCTGAGGCTGCAACACCCGCCCAAGTGCTGAGCCAGGGGACAAGAAGCTGCGCCCCTGCCTGGTGTGTCCTGACAGTGGAACTCAGGCCATACCTCCACCCGGTGGGGTTTGACAAGGGTGGAACCAGCCGGGTTAAGCCCATTAATCACACAGGCCAGGTCTGAGTCCTGTGTGATTTGAGGTGCATGTGGATGGGCGGAGACTTGACTCTGTGTCCCATGGGTGTCCCAGACTCTGACAGGAGAAACATTTTTATTTACATTTTACTAATTTTCTTTCATCTTTGACATTTCTGTTATAGAGAAAGGGCAGATAGCAATATTAAAATATCTCCTCTAATGAATACCCTTTGAATTTTGTGCATCGGTCCACTAGTACACACACACACACACACACACACACACACACACACACACTCTAGATGTCCGGAGGATGAATTTCTGCACCAGTGGGGTCTCTCAGTCTAGCTTGTGGGAACTGGCTCTCTGACATCCCCCTAAGGGTCCTGGATTGTGAGAGGCATAGGCCAGGCTGAGGGACCCCACCAGTGCATGATAGGGGTTGGAGAGGAACCCATGAGATTGGCCAGCCAGGGAAGGACTTCAGGAGAGCTCCAAGGTCTGTCTGGCCCATCGCACTCAGTTCATTCAGGATCTTTTAAAGGTAAATCCTGCATAATTTATGGAGTTTATCTTGTGCACTTTGGACTTAATTTATATTGTCCCAATTATTCATAAATAAATAATAAAAAAGAGATACAGGAAGGAGAGGAAATAGCAGCCCTTTGTAAATATAATTCCAGTCCACAATAGTTTATTTGGTACTTCTTAATATTTTATAACTAACAGATTTACCATCATAAAATCTAAAAAGGTATATATAAATGTGAAAATAAGTTTGTAATTATCTATCATGTCTGTACTTGATGCATCTGAATTCATAGTATCTACCAAAATCAGGTTTAATAGTTAATCTCTTTCCTATGTAGTTTATTTTTCAGACATTTCTTGCTTTTAAATTGCTCTGTTCTGTAACATGGAACTCCAACCTGGTGTGATTAAACTTGAAGAAGTACCTGACCTATAGTATTTAATTTGTCAGTGTCAAGCATAAAACTTTATCCTTAAACAGAAGCTATTTAATTAACAAATTGTTCTCGTTTTCTAACATGTATCTTAGTTAATTAAAGAAGTTGAAGAACTCAATGAATAGAAATTAAAAATACATGCTTAAGCACATATACATATACAAGAACACACAGATGGTTCTAGGAAAATCATTATTTAGCTAATCTAAGAAGAGAGGATGATTCATTAGGTAGATATAAGTTATGCAAAACTGAGGAAGAAGCAGTTAGCTGGTTGCAGTTAGAGACAGAAAGTAGCTAGATCACCATGAAGTTAGTCCATCAGTGAGCTTTTAATATGCAGAGAATAACTTTAATGTATATAATGAGGCTCCCTGATGCCCTTCTCACTTAATTGATAGGAGCCATGGCTAATGTAACTCAGTGGTTAGAAGGACAGCCTGTGGACCAAAAGATTGTGGGTTTTTAATTCCCCATCAAATGCATGTACCTCAGTTGCAAGTTCAATCACAAGTTCTGGTCAGGGAGCATGTGGGAGGCAACCAATTGATGTGTGTCTCTCACATGAATGGTTTTCTCTTTCCCTCTCTCCCAACTTCCTCCCTTCCTCTCTCTAAATAGATATAGATATAGATATAGATATAGATATAGATATAGATATAGATATAGATATAGATAGATATAGATATAGATGTAGATGTAGATGTAGATGTAGATGTAGATGTAGATGTAGATGTAGATGTAGATATAGATATAGATAGATAGATAGATAGAGATAGATAGATAGATAGATAGATGAAAAAATATCCTCAGGCAAGGATTAAACAAACAATAAAAATACAAGGGCTGAAACCCATTACAATCACATTTACTATTCTCCAAGTCTGCTCACCACTGATCAATGGGGAAAGTCACTGGACAAAGGCAATTTAGATACATGTCTAATAAGATCTGGGTAACGTGGGATAGTGCCTACCTGTCTGCCAGTCACACCTGAAAACAAATTAGTGGTCAGGATATGCGTAGCCACTGCAAGGGCACAAAACCTGAATATTTAAAATTCCGAACAGTGGCATTTACTCTCTCTCCCTGGCTTGGGTTTCTGGCTCTTCTGTGGCAGGGGGTGAGCTACCCTGTGCCCACACAGTGCAAGGCCATGTTAGACTCCACCAGTTGTACTGACAGACTGTAATTAGCCTGAATGCTGAACTACCCAGTAACATGGAATGGAAAATTTGGACACTCGCCTTGTTTCTGGCTCTGCTGGAATTCCAGCTGTACCTTTTCCAGGAGTGGATTAAGGTGCAGGGACTTTGGAACCCTAGAAATGTAACCCCACACAAATAAATTCTTCTTCCACATCCTATTCTCCCCGGGGGACTTCTGAAATGCTTATTGTAGTGTCACCCAAAGCACTTCTACCATGCTCCCATGAGCAACAGGTAAATTAGATTATCTGGTAATATAACATTAAAAATACATCAAACTATAAAAGATTAAAAATATATTATTCATTAAAGTTCATAAAGAAAAGAGAAAGAACAAAATTGCATATTGTCTATAATTTCAAAGAAAAAGGAAAAGTATAAAACAGGTTCTTCTCTTCTAAAGGCAAAAATGTAAATAAATTTTGATCATAAAATGTTCAATAAAATAAAAATTTCTTCTATAAAAATAAGAACGAGAGACAAAATAATTTGTAAGACTAAACAAAGGAAGATACTTGGAAGATATTAGAATAAAGTATGAGTCAACATTGTGGAAATACATTAATACAAAAAAGAAGCCGGGGTGACTTCTGGAACATCAGCATAGGAGCTCTGCAGACTCTCTCTCCAGCAAAACAATAAGAAGCAGTGAAAACTATTTAAACATACACACAAATTTAAGGTCTTTTAAAAAATGTTCCATGAGCATATAACAAATGAAGAGCCAATTATTCAAGAAAATCTACTTAACCTTAGTAAGTACAGGTGGAGTCTGCTGTACTAGAGCCATGACCTGCTCCCTACCCCCTTGCCACCCCCAACTCAGTGTGAGTGAATGTAGGCAAGAAGACAGGCTTCTCCTCCCTTTTAGTTACCAATCAAGGGCTACAGTATTTTCCCAGGAGAGGAACACAGCCAGTATTTCTTATTCCCTTCACTTCTACATTTGGTTGCGAGGGTACATTGCAGGGATGTGGCTGAGAGATTAAGGTTCTGTTCCGTTACCCAGTTCCTGCTTGTAAGACAGGAATACACGGACCCAACAGTTCACATCTCAGGCCACTCATGAATAGAGGCTTCAAGCTAGAGAGACAGGCCAAGAAGACAGAGTTTACCTCTGCTCACTAGCATCTTGTTTTTACAGAGGAGTGAGTGTACTTTAAAAGAAGCAGGTCCTGCCCTCATCTCAGGAGGAACATCATAGAAGTTTTGCTCAAGGGAAGAGGCAGGCCATACTAAGAGGTTTCTAAAGCTCTCTCCTGGGTAAATATTTGCAATAGAGTGTGGGAAGCTCAAGCCTAGGGCCCTCTTGAAAACTAGGAAGATTTGATGGTAAGCAAGTAAAAGGAGGCTGTCAGCTCCATGCGATCATCAGGCTGAACGATAGGCCGCTTGTTTCTGAGAGAAAACCAGAGAAAGAAACGGCCAGAAAAACCTTACTGTAGTCAAAGAAAACTTCTAAGACTATTCTCAAAAAGAAAAGAAGAATTCTCCAGCAAAGGGTTCCCAGTTTTACTGAATCATTTTTGGAGCAATTTATGCACAGAATA